CTTTGAATTCCCAGGCTAGCTTCTCAGGCAGGACTGAGAGGCCATGGGCCTGCATTTTCTGCAGCTCCCTGCAGCCTGTTCCAAAGCTAGCATCCATAAGGATGCATATTTGAAATTAGTAATCTGTAATTAAAAGATAAGCAGACACACAAAAATTACTTCCTGTAATATGTCCAACTATGATGAACTGACTAATTCAAAGTTTGAAAGAGTCTTCTGAGTTTATTTCTTTTTGGTAAGTATTCAATATAATTATCTTTAAAATCTGATGGCTTGTTTGGTTTTAATTCTGTTTTCTAAATGTTTCTTCCTGATGCCAGATTGCATTGCCCAAAAAGAAGGTTACTTTTACAGCTTGTTAGGTAGCAGGTGGCTCTGTAGTCAGAAGATAAAACAAAGACTTTAACTAGAAATTATGGAGGCAGTCCATGCTTCAAACATACCATCACACTTTCAGGAAACAATAGTTTATGACAATAGATATTGACACCCTCTGTACTAAGAAATAGAAGCTTGTTTAAAAAAAATAATTAACAAAACACTGAACATGCATTAGATGTACAACCAAAATTAGTACTAAACATCAAGCACTACTGCTCAGCACAAGAGCAGGAAGAACCTAAGCACTAAACCTGACTGGCATCTGCACCCCGATGTGATGTGTATGAGCTGTCAGTCCCCTCTCATGGACAGAGGCGAGGGCTGCGTGTCAGCAGCACTGTGTCCTCTGCTCAGTGCCACACATCACATGTCAGTGCTGTTTGACAGCTCTTTGCACAGCCTTAGGGGCTGCCCTCTATGCCAAATCATGACTGAGTGACAGGAAACAAGCGAGTCAGACTTCTCAGAATATTATCCTTAAGCAATACTGCTTACCTACAAGACCTAAGTAAAAACAGATACAGAGGCAAAAGTGTGACAGAGAAGTCAGCTCTGCACAGACGAAGCTGAGAAGTGGAGACATAGACAGGAGCATATGCCTGGCCAAGGGCAGAGGGATTCCTGAGGCAGGATCCCTTAATCCACTCATAAATTCCCAGTAAAG